AAATACAGGTGCGTTTTGTACGTTTTGACCCCTCGGTTCTGGTCTTTATCTTGTTTTGGCAGGAACACTATGAAGAATCGGACTAAATATATTTAGCAAAAATAAGTTATATGCCTATTATCTGCTTTTGGCAGACACATTTATCAATTGAACACAATGTTATGATTATGTTTTGGTATAAATATCTTATTTGTCCATATTGTTAATGCATTAACATGGAGTTAGTTTTTATTGGCTATCTGTTTATCATGAATACAGACTTCTTTCACACTTGTAGAAAGTGTACCTACTTAACTAGAACATTCCAAAAGTGGAGCTATCTTGTTTTTGCAGTAACCCCACAAAATTCCAAACGTTCACTTAAAAATTAGCATGCTATTTAGCGCTGCGACCAATAATAGTGTTAGGGGCCACAAAAAAAGCTTGGAGGGCCGCAGGTTGAGTATGGCTGTTCTAGATGGATAAGTCAAGTTTTGCCAGCCTTGAACCCCATTTTGTTTAATATTATTTATACCTATGACCTTCACAATTTATTGAGTTTATAAAATGTACCCAACATGCTGATGATTTCTGCATATAAAAATGCAATAAACAAATAGCAAATAAACTAAAATTTGGAAGTTAATCTTCTCTATATCTATTTTATAAATGTATACCTCAAATAGTGAAACCAATCATAACGTACGGAGTTATAGCCTGGAGTAACATATCTAGCTACTACGAGAGCTAATATCTCAAAAGTACAAAGACTAGCCTGCCTGTGTTTGTATCACTAGTGTAATAAAAACCTGTCCTACGGCTGCAATGGAGGTGATTTTAAACCTCACCCCTCTACATTTAATGATAGAAAACGTGGCAAAAAGGACACGATATAGAATCTTTAGGAACGGAGTAATCAGACGACAGTCTATTAGCTTCAGGACAGAAGATACTTGGGATAGGTCCCAGGTTGAAATCAGAAGAAGTACAGTTTTGTGATAAACTTCTAAACCACAGAGCTAGGCTGCAAGAAAGAATTGAGCCAAGAATCCATCGTGCTTGCAACCGAAAGACATGTTATTTAGTGATATATGGATGGTTCTAAAAACATAGGATAAACTAGAATAGGAGAGTATGGGCCTAAAACCAGGCACTTCAAAAGTTTGGGAAAATACCAAAGCATCTTCTAGGCGGAAATTCACGCTATTGAGAAGTGTATCCAGTTTAACATCGAGAGAAACTATCGTAGCCAAGCAGCCATCAAAGTGCTGAGATACATAGAAAAACTGAATTAGCTAGTTACTCTCACTTGCATCTCGGGACAAAACGATTCGAATGGTAATCAGATTGCACATAGTCTCGCAAGAAAAGGAACTCAAACACTGCCACTGAGGTATCAGCAGTAACACAGTATTAGGAAAGATTAAAAGAATTGGACAGTAGAAGAATCGATCATTGAAAAAATCTCTGGGGCTAAGACAGGCTAAGGTACTTCTGGGTTAATATAATCGGAAATCTGTATCTGTCTGAGCAAGAACGAGCACGCACTGTAACAGAGATCCTTAGTGGGCATTGCCAACTTAAAGGACATCAGTAAACTGAGAGTAGTAGAAGATAATGAGTGCATATTCTGTAAGGAGGAGGACGATACCTCCATTCACATTATGACTAAATATGTAGTAAACCCAGAATCCAAGTGCACTGTACCTAGGAGCATATTAAATATAAGAGGGAGATTTACCTAACTTGAAGCCACTCCAAATTCTACACTACCTCGAGAAGATAGGATTGAAAGGGTCGTTACAGACATCGAAACATTTCCTTGTTGCAATAGCGACAGATGGGGAGACACAATAGATCTTTTAGGTCACAGTGTATTAACACTCCATTCCCAACATCACCTATATATACCTTACTAGCAGGGCCAGTCTTAAAATTTGCACCCTCGCATATAACTTTTAATGGTGCCCAAACTCTCTCTTAAAAGGAAACATATTAGAGCAGTTTTCAACTTTTGCCGAGGTGCTCTTAAAGCAAAGCATTCCACCGCTGAATACAAGGAGCATAAGGTAAAATCCGATTACAATAAGGGTATGTACATGCCGAAGATGCCTTGATGAACGATAATTGATGATTGATGATCAACGATCGATGACTGACGATAGATTATTGGTGTACATGCCGAAGATATCTTCCTCGATACGTGATGATAGATGCTTCAAGCAGTGTTGCCGGGTGTACGATAATGACCGTTTTATACAATTAATTTTGATTTTCTGTACAAAGTACGATAAAATCAAAATGTACGATAATTTCACCAAATGACTCAAAAGTTCTCTATCAAAAACAACTGTGTAAAATTGTATGCTTTCTTCACAAAATGCATTGATCTTTTTGTTGCGTACTAAATTGAATGGAAAGTATATGAGGGAAGAGTCGCATCAGAAAGTCTTTGTTTATATACGGTAGCTCGACTAGGGATGTGCGATATACTTAAAAGTATCGATAGTAGGTATCGATATCGAAACGTAAAACATCGACACTTTAACTATCCGAGGTTGAAGGCCAATGTCAACGCGTTGTCAATGACAAGTGACAGCGGTTTTACTAACAAACGTTTCCTGAAGTAATTAGGCAAAATTAAAATGCTGTTTGTGGCGGATTAGTTTTTAAATAGTATAAAGAATATTGTAAAGTCCATCATTTGTTTTACTTCTGATGAATAATAGTTAAAACAGTAATATATTACAAATCATTAAAAGTTATGGACGTTCCAATATTTTTTATCATATTTAAAATCTCAGACGCAAAAAACAATCTTTTATTTTTGCCTCATTATTTCAGTAAACGTTTGTTAGATTTAAAAATGACATTTGCAACCATGCTAATTCCAGACATACGTTTTATTAAACTCATCGTGTTACGTATGTGTTGACATCGTGAGATAGAAATTTAAAGTAACATCTTGTATTACTTCGAAGTTTTCTAACTTTAAAAAAACGTGAAAAAGTTGAGTTGGGTACATATTTATGTTAATGAAATTTGCTTTTGCCTTTTGCTAGTAGATGACACCACCCTAGCCGCCGCCCGCAAAAATCCCCGGATCTTAAAGGTATCGATACAGTACAAAAGTATCGATACTTGCAAAGTATTGAGAAGCAAAGTATAGATCCAAAATATCGAGTATCGGACGTAAAAGTATCGATACTCTGGAATATCGGTATGTATCGCGCATCCCTAGCCTCGACCATTTTAGAAGTTAATTGCCGCCGATGTAGTTCAGCTCGTGTATATACGTTAACTCAGCGAGGTAAAGAAAGATAATGCAATAGACTACTGGTGTCCTATACAGAGTTAAGTCATAATATTTTTAATAATATTCATGTTATACTGTTGTCAAAAAGCATCGTAATGAACTCCTTTTTTCAATTGTAATGAGACATAATATAGTGATTTTTTTGTATCTTTACATCTTATTGTTTAATACTATACATTATGTTCTAGGAGGTGTGCTATCGCTACTGGCACCGTAGCAGCAGAAATAATTTGGAGAGCCAATCTCGTTTAAGATTTCAAGATGCCTGTAAATATCGTAAATATCGATGTAATCATCGATGGTGCGAGGGTGTGCTAATCTTTGGTATGCACACTCTTATTTAAATCTATACATTCGAGGCATCTTCGGCATGTACATGCCCTAAGAAGAACACCGCTACGTCAGCTATTATTTCGAATTCCATATCATCTATAACTATCAATAAATAAAAAATATATGAGTTGTTTGGTTTGAAAATATGATTCCTATTTTCCTATAATATCTTTATCTTTGTCGGATATAAGTAGGTAGGGTTAGGTTTGGCCCAGATCACTGCGGCCTCTTGGGTCTATTGTATTCCCCTGCTTTTCCCGTATTCAGGCACTATCTTTGGGATAATCCTGTCTTTGGTTAGTTTTAGTAAATTCCCTACCAAGTGTTCTTTTCGGTTCTAGGCCGAAAAGGATGAAACGTCGCTTAGTAAGAGCTTCGCATTCGAAGATCACATCACATTAAAGTGTTTCAGCAAGCAGTGCGCCGTTAGTAATCCGACAATGGCGGATATCTGAGGCCTTGCGAGTTGTAGTGCCTCAGTAGCCATGCGTGCGATTACTGATTCTGTTCCTTCTTATCTGTTGCTAATGAATTTGGTGTTTTGTGTTTATCCACCTGTTCACTGCCTGTCGAGCAGAGTTTTTGCTTATCCCAAATACAGGTTTGGGTCCTGTGAATGGTAGATCTGATTCTTCTTTGGCGAGTTCATCAGCCTTTTCATTTCCTTGGATAACTTTGTGCCCTGGTATCCACGATAGTTTTACTTTGTTGCCAGATCATTTAATATTCCAAGGCAGTTCCACAGTTCCAGACAAGCTTTGACTTGATTCTGTGTGAATCAAGAGCCTTTAAGGCTGCTTGGCTATCTGAGAGAATTAAGATGGTTTGTTTTTTGTACTTCCTTCTTAAATATAGTGGTATGTTTTCCCAGTGAGACGATGATGTCGCATTTGGGTTTAACTCCATCTACGCCATAGCCTGTTCCCTTGTTAGTTTTAGATCCATCCATATACCATACGAGACCGCTCCTTATTTACCTCGTTCCAGTTGCAGTTAACCTGGAAGAGTCTGTTGAAGGTTAGGAGGGGGTGCAATGTGATCTGATCCCATGTTTAATATAGAATAATTTGCTTCATGTATTATTCTGGTATGTTTTCCTATATTAACACGCCTCTAAACCCCCAGTAGCCGGCGATAGCCAACGAATTACTCCGTTAATTGACGTAGCTGTGTTCTTATTGTAATCGGACAATACCATGTGTAATTGTTAATAAATATAAGTATTGTCTCTTTTATCAGTAAATTTTTGTTTACTCGTATTTACATTCTTTACAAGTTTTGTTCAGTTTTAAACACTCAGTATGCCTATTTTTTTTTTTGTAATTAACATGATTTTAAATATTTTTCTTAATTCTGGTTGTAGAAAACTTACCGTTACTCCCTCAGGTGGGTTCTTGGTTATCATAGCAAGAACGGCTAAATTTAAAATATTTCTTAATCCATATGCTAATGCTGTTACACTGAAGAGTAGAAGGTATTGTACGTGCCTTTTACCAAATAATTGTTCTGAAAAATAAAAAAAAAAACTTTATCACTACTTAGTCCATTAAAAATATATATAGATGATTCATTTAAAAAATATAATTTTGGTGTAATACCGTTTTTATATACTCAAAGGTTAATGCTCATATTGAAACGACCTGTATGTAAATACCAAACAGATGTAAACTGTATAAACAAGATAAACATACGTACTATCCATATTTCCAATATATTTTTAGGATTTTTAGGCTTTTGTTGTAAAATATCTTCATTTTTAACAAACGTGCTCTAAACCTTTAATTATTGTTTTTTCAATTAAATAAATTTTTTTAATTACTGAAATATTTATATTTAAGTAAAATAGGTCAAGATTAACTGAATAATTAGCAGTAAATAACTTAATCATTCTTATCATTTTAGCTGATATAAGTACACAGTTACATAGAATTCCAAATTATGTATAATTCTCTAGGTATGTACGCTTTATATCATTCTAAAGCTAAAACATGTACATTCAATTTTTAAATTATCTTTTAAAATTGATTTATTTGTTCTATAATACAAGTAAATGTAGGTACCATACATAAACTCAATAGCATAATAAAAGGCAACCGTTTGAATTCCACAGGTCCAAAATCCATCTTGTTTATCACTTCAAACTACGAAATTTAATCACGTACCCTGATGAGCACCCTACATATACTTACAGGCCATTTCGCCGAACCGTCTGATGTTCTAACCAGATAGTTTTATATATTCTCTGAAATATAACATTCTGCACTTTATACGCTGGATTAAAAAAAAATGTCAAAATAGTACAATTTATGACGAATCTATTGAGTAAAAGATGCCCGCAAGATTAATATTCTTAGAGTCATACAAACATTTTGAGAGCAATTCGGTATATCTTTTTCGACTTTTAATTTTGATTTTATACCTATTTTAAAAAAACAGGTTGCAAAATCTTTTATGCTCATCAACCCTTTCGACGAAACAAAAAAGTGCCCGCGATATCATCTTAGGTGGTCACGTAGTAGATAGCAATATACCGGAAGTATCAAAACCGGATGCTCGCAATTGCGTTTTTTATTGTTCTCGACGACTGGAAGCATATATTTCAAATTGGGGACAAAAAAAGGCAAAACTCATCGATACAATACTGTACTTTGAATTTAACAACTCGCATGACCGCTTTTACCGCCCGGACATAGTACAACTTGTTAACATCCTCCCCTACATCCAACTACAAAGAGCGGGAAAAAAGTCGGGTTTGTTACAGGCTACACAATTATGTAGATAACTACATATTTTAACCTTCAACTGCACATGTAAAGTCTTTATTGGTTGAATGTAAAATGAATAAAACTAAAAGTTACTAGATTTTGGCACGTCACAGATTAATTACATCATGTCATTAGAAAACAAACAAATTCTGATACAAAGTATGTAAAAGTAATGTCTACGAAAGTAAGCCAAAGTAAAACAAAAGTCAATTCTTTAAGTAAGTTGACGCAAGTTATATAAGATGTACGAAGGTGCGCAACAGGTAAGAATGGAATTGTTACATAAACGATTTTCGGAAGAAATGCCTGATGTGAAATGTTCTACACGGTCAATTAATACATGGATTTGAAAAATTGGCTTTCGCTTTAAAAGAAGTAACATCAGACAGTTTTTATTGGAAGAACATCGATCCAGTTAAAAAAAATGTCGTTTTTGAAAAATTTTAACAAGAAGGTAAAGCTGGGTAACTTTAAGGTAGTTCACTAGCGACAGTCGTACATAAAAATATGCATAATGGTGAATAACAAAAGTTCGAGATTCTCAATGCGAATCAATTTTATTTTTGTAAGAGACTGTACAAAACACATGTATATAAACACATATGGTCATGTTATAATTTTAATAAAATTCATCCGGCAACCTCGCTATTATATGAACGGTATGGTATAGAAATTTGTGACTTCCTCATACTTATTTTAAGGGTTTGTTTTGGTTCAAACAGAACCGCTGATTCCAGTTTTCAAACACAGTGGACGAATTAATTTTTCAAGAACACGTCGCGAGGTTATAACAACCTCTTAGCTGATCGAGTGGTATTTTGTTGCATATAGTGATTACAATGTTGCCAAGTTGTAATAATTTTACGAAACTACTCGTCAACTGCTTTAAAAATATTTTAATTTTAAAAATCTACATCTTTTTACTAAGACGGTCAAAAAATTCAGCGATTTTTTAGAAAATTTTATAACTTCTTGATTTACGTAACATTAGTTTTTAAAAAAATATGGTAAGAACCGTTTTCGAGATATCTTGAAATAAATGCATTACTTGTGTACATGAAAGGCTTCAAGAGTGTTAATTATGCACATTGTGATTGTTAATATCTCGTTTCACAGACGGTCAAAAAATTTAATTTTTTTTAGTTACGTAAACGACACTTTCTTTAACCTTATATTTCAATTTTATTAAATTCTTAAGAAAAGCCGTTTTACTAGTGAACTACCTTAAGGTGATTACAGCACCCCCTTATAATTTTCGGACAAGGATATCTCAAAATGTAATTTTTTTTAAAAAATTTAAATTTGGACAAAATAAATTACGCAATAATATCTAGAATATGCATATTTTTTAAAGTTTTAATTCCTTCCAGTTTCCGAGAAAAAAAATTAAAGGGATTAAAATTTTGAAATATCATAATGAAAATAAATGCATTCCTCAACAGTAGTATTCCTAATATAATCCCCAAATTTAAGCTCTTAATCTCTTGTTAATGATTTTTTAAAATTCGCCGAAATTAGTGGCTAAAACGCCTCGTTAAGTGCTTCTTTCTAGTGTAACGCGTCTATAACTATCGTATCGTACACTCTGAGTCATCATTTGTTTCTTGCAATGATTTACACTAGTTTACACCAGTTTAAACCAGAAAATATTACTTAACAAGGCGTTTTAGCCACTAATTTCGGCGAATTTTAAAAAATCATTAACAAAAGATTAAGAGCTTAAATTTAGGGATTATATTAAGAATAGTGCTGTTGAGTAATGCATTTATTTTCATTATGATATTTCAAAATTTAAAGCCCTTTGATTTTTTTTTCTCGGAAACTGGAGGGAACTAAAATTTTAAAATATATGCATGTTCTAGATATTATTGCCTAATATATTTTGCCAAAATTTTAATTTTTAAAAAAAAATCACTTTTTGAGATATCCTTGTTTGAAAATTATAAGGGGGTGCTGTAATCACCTTAAGCCTGTATTTATGGATGATGCGTAGGTATATAGCAAGAGAAGCGACAGAAAAAGTTGGTAAGATGGAACGGTGGCAACTGCAAGTAAAAAAACAGTAGACGGACTTAGATACTTAATTGCCTATGGGGGCAATGAACAAGGGTTTATAAAAAATGCATACCTCATATTTAAAAGTCAAACAAAAAGCGGGGATTACCATAATAATATGAACACAGAAAATTTTGAAAAAAGACGTAACTTATACCTAGTCTGAAACATCCTTCTTTGATTATAATCGATAATAGGGTCTATTCTGTAACAATTCCTTTATATTTAACGGCCTTTAAAAATATTTTCTTCTTTACTTCTGTCATTATTTAAACGGATCTTTAAAAGACGTTAGAGGACTATCTTAAAGAAATCTGTTTAAATAATGACAGAAGTAAATTTACGAATACGAACATATTTTTAAAGGCCGCCAATATTTTTAAAGGCCGTTAAATATAAAGGAATTGTTACAGAATAGACCCCAATACCAGTTATCATTCGCGGTACGTAAAACCAATTCCATGTTATAGTTAGACAAAAGATAAAATAGTAAAATGGTTGCAGAAACAAAACATTAATTATTTAATTAATGGTATGAAATATCAGAATTGGGAAGTTGTACATCAAAATCTACCACGAAAATAATTCCACCTAGATAGATATGTTGAGCAATATGGGCATAAAATAATAAGAACTCCTCCATAGCACTGCCAGTACAATGTGATAGGGATGGTGTGGTACAGTGCAAATGATTTTAAGGCGAAAAAATTTTAACAACAAAGTTGTCACCGGAAGATGTATTTCAGACTTGGTCAGAAGCTTTGAATAATGTTACCGATACTCAGTGGGACAATTATGTAAGAAACGCTAAAAACATAATTGTTTCCGATTGGCAAAAATACAAACAATCAGATGTTTCTGATCTAAAACTAATTATTATTAATTTAGGTACAACAGCAAGTAGTGACGAGTCTTAGAGTCCAGTTGTGAAGAAAATGGTATTGATTAAAAAAATTATATGAGTTATCCAATAAATATTTTCTGTGCCTCTTGTTATAATACATTTTTTTAACAAAGAATCTGTTTTACGAATTTGTACCTGTTTTGGATTATCCCTTAAAGCTCTAAAAACCAATGTTCAGTCAGGAAATTTATTTATAAAATACGAACGTAAATTGTTCTAGTATTTGTACACAAAATGTAAAACGTAATCTTAATTTTGTCTAAGTGAGTTCTTGTATTCGTGTAAACGCACCTTAACAAAGTTTACGCTGCTAAGCAACAACAAAGCGCAACTGAAATAAGACACGTGCAAACTGTAACTAAAAATGCGATACTCTTGAAGACTTGGGGTATTTCTATCACTTTACAATGACCAATTACAATTGTTTTGCTACACATTTTTAACAACTGCACAAAAAATTACTCTGGACAAAAATACTAATTATATCGAATTTATTTAATAAAATTCATATTAACCTTCAACCCACAGTTTCAAGTTGTCGCAGTCACATAAGGGACAAAATTTTTCTTGCTGGTGTAAACACTCCCAAGTAACGCTAATGCTCTGCGATCTTCAAGGTTGCTTTAAAACTATACAATAAAATTTTGAATAAAACCAAATGATCTTCAAGACAGTTCCAAGACCACCATAGACCAACTTCTAGACAAAAAGGATCCATCCTAAAAAAGGCCTTCAGGACTAAAGTTTAACACTATGTTAAAACCATTGTGTTTTAATTTTAT